GGACCCTCATCCTCAGAGAAAAGAATAAACTTGCTTCGGGAAAAAAACTCAAGATTCTCCCTGAAGCTGTTTGAAAATTTTTCTCCTAACCACCCCTAAATTATGTATGTATATTTTATTTAAAACAAAATACATTGACGAAACATTCACAAAAATATGATACAAAGTAAAACAACATAGGTAACTCAAGCTACATCTCGAATACTTCGTCCAGCTCCCCTGCGGTGGGCCGCTGCCCAGAATGCTGCAGGCATTTCCTCTCTGGATCGAAAACACAGTCTCCTGAAAGAGGAAGCTGGTCGCCCTGTGGTCCTTGGTTTCTATGATGAGCTTTTCACCAGCTCTTTGAGGAACTTTAGAGCACACTTGCCCCATGCCCCCAAGGGCCCTCCGACCCTATTGGAATGAAGTTATAGCAAGGGGTAAGGTCTTCATATTTTCGGATCTTCTGGTCTCCCTGTGGCTGGCAGCTCCACCCCCTTCCCCACTACAGAGAAATGGCAAGTAGGTGTCTGCCAATGTGGCAGCACAGGTAGTCCCGGGCAATCTGCTTTCCATCCTTCCAGGTAGCATAGTGGCTCCATCGGGACGCTTTTAAACTTCCATCAGACCTCTGTACTTGGGGTTCCCGTTGAGCTGGGCAAGGGGCTGGGCGAGGCTTCTCTTTATTATGTCATTGATCTCCTCATGTCGGGCATACTTCCCTTCTGCTGTGTGACACACGAGACCATGGAGCCCCGAATTGATCAGCTGCCCCGCCCTGCCGCAAATACACCTATGTTCGGTGAGGATGGGGGCGGCTAGGCGAAGAGCAACACCAATCCGAATGGCCTGTGGGTCGAGACGGGTGCCCAGGGAGGAATTGGGAACAGCTAACAGGAAATCTCCTGAGTGTGGTGCCTTCACTGCCAGGAGACGAGCTTTGTTCTTTCCTGAAGCATTGGAGAGCATTGTGTTGGCGATTTTTTTCCATGATGGGTTTGTCCCAGTGGGACTGTTTGTGCTGTTTGGGGGGAGCTGGTCTACTGGGGGAAAGTCTGTAAGGGTGTCCCACCGAATTGCTGCTTCAGTAAACCTGGGGTCTTGAGGCCCTACCAAGTCTCTCAAGCGTTCGGGCACTATCTTCTTGACTAATGCACTGGAAGCCAAACACGAAGACAGAAAAGCAGGTAAAGCAACATGCGTTGCTTTACGCACCCCTATACCCCCAGTCGCACTGGGAGGGTTGCCTGATCCCATTGCTCATCCTCTAGTGACAGGTTCAGTGCCTTCTTAAAGTTGATCTCAGGTGTGCGTCATATTCATCGAGTGTTGGGTTGTCAAAAGAGGGTGCACACCTCAAGAAGTAAGTGAGTCTTGGCATAGTAAGACACCTTGTGAGGAGATACAGAGCATCATGGGCATCAAGATCGCTTATTCTCTCCTCCATTCTCATAAGGTCATTCAATTTGTCCCTGAGGACAGTTATCGATGGCCTGGTGACCCAGCGGTGCCCCAAAGGTACTGTTGGACGGAGTTGTAGTTGAGATTTCCGGGAGGATTCTTTGCAAAAGCATTGATTATTTCCTGGTTCGCTGTGATGATTTCACACTTAGAGGGATTGAGGGTGAGTCCCAAGCCTTCTCCCTGTGTTTTCACCAGTTGTAGGTCCCCCACGAGGGACTCTTCAGTACCTGCCAGAGTGGCCCTCATCCAGTACCATATTGAGCTCACTGCGTAGGCTGGAAGTTTGTTTCTCTTACTGCCAAGCAGAAAGAGAAGTGGAGCAAGTGGGTCACCCTGCTGAACACCCTCTGATGATTGAATTTTCGTGTTCTCCAAAAAAAAGAATTGAGGTTTTTCTGTAGCCGGCTGAAATGAAGGGAAAGAGACTGGGGAACCGAACCCGAACAGCTGGCAAAACAGCATCCTCCTCACCATAATTAAAGGCATTTCTAAAAACAAGTTTGACTAGGCCTTGTCTCTGGTAGGTCCCTGATGTAAAGGGCCCCTTTCCGCATGAGCTGCAGCTTCACTGCCTTGAGAGACCCCAAAGCCCAGTTGGTGTGGCTGGAGTAAAGGGCAGCTTCTAGGCGAATGTTTCTCACTGCTGCTTTGGCAACGAGACGGCGAAGAGTGTTTCCAACGCAAATGGGTCTGATTCCCCATCCCTCTTCTTCAAAGCACATAGTGAGGCTCCAAAAAAGAAAGGTTTAATTTCCCTTCTGGATTTCGCCCAGCCAGGCAATTGTTGACGAAAGTTGTTAACTCGGTGAGAAGAATTGATGCAGATTCACCGAGTACTGGATTTACCATCTCTTTGAGGTGCTGAGGTCGAATCCAGTGTAACTCCTGCAGATCCTGCTGGAAATGACACGATCGCCTTATAACTTTCCGATTCTGGCAAAATTAATTGTTCAGTGATAGGGTCTTCCTCGGGTTTTTCGTTGATGGCTGTGGTGTCCCTGGTTGGGTGCTTGTCTCTTAGTGCTTGGGCCGTGGTCTCATCCTTGGGGGCTACAGTGTCGTCACTTGTAATTATTCTTATTGCTCCCACTGTGTTACCTTCCTCAATTTTTTTGCTAACCTGTGCGCAAATTTTCTCGTTCTCAGTAGGACTTTTCTTGGGTCTGCCTCTTTGATTCCTGCGATGATGGGGAAGAGGGACACAGTTATCCGTTCTTGGGTAGTTGCGCACTGCCTTGATAACTGATGTAAGGGCGTATATCAACAACCTGCCTGAGGACAATGCAGTGATAAAATTAGATTTCAAGAATGCGTTCAATCTCCTGAAAAGAGACGTGGTATTAGCAGCAGTACAAGAACATTTCCCTTGTCTCTTCCCTTTTGTTTCAGCTGGGTATAGCAAGGAATCAATGCTTCTCTTTGGAGAGCATGAAATCACATCATCGGAGAGTGTCCAACAAGGAGATCCTCTTGCACCATTTCTCTTCTGTATAGCAGTTAGGGAAATCACAGTCAGACTGACCAGCGAGCTAAACATCTGGTTCCTAGATGATGGCACACTAGCATGTACAAAGGAGTCCCTCCTACATGACCTTACACAGGTAATGACACGGAGACAGGAAATGGATCTCATCCTGAATCCATCCAAATGTGAAATCATCTTAGTCAGTCAACAAGTGATAAATGCAGTGAGATCAAAACTACCAGGAGCAGCAGTCATTGCCCCCACAAATAGTGTCTTGCTAGGAGCACCTCTGGGAAGCAGTGCCATTGGCACAATTCTCAGGAAGAAATTGGAAGAGTTAAGGAGAATGGAACAACGAATAGGCAATCTGGACACCCACGATGCCTTTACCTTCTCACAAAGTGCTCGAGTCTGCCCAGGTTGACATATTTCCTAAGATATGCACCTTCATATCATAACCCTATACTGCACGAATATGACAGTATTCTGAGGCAGATTTTTACGAAAGTACTTAACGTTACTCTAGGAGGCATTGGTGTCCGCAAGTCATCACAGATTGCATTACCTGCTTTTCTGTCCTCGTGTATTGCATCCAGAGAGCTTGTAGCAGCGATTCTCCCTGAACATCTTAGGGACAAGATTGGAGTCCAGGATCAAAAATTCATTGACGGAGCAATGATCTGGGATAATCTAACGGGCTCTGAAACCAGACCTGCCTCCCCCCCAACAACTACAAACAATCGCACTGGGATGGTCCAATAGTGAAAAATATAGCTTCAACAATGCTTCAGAGTGTGTCAGGGAAGGATAGAGCCCGCCACCTGGCAGTGAGAGCCCCTCATGCTGGGGACTTTGTGTTGGCTGTTCCCAACTCCAGCCTTGGCACACGCCTCGACCCACAGACCATCCGCATCGGTGTTGCCCTTCGACTTGCCGCCCCTATTCTCGCCGAACACAGGTGTATTTGTGGCAGTGAAGCAGCAGACCGATTCGGGTACCATGGTCTTGTGTGCTGTAAATCCGAGGGAAAGATTGCAAGACATGAGGAGGTTAATAACATTATCAAGAGGAGCCTCACAACAGCTGGATGCCCAGGAGTAAGGGAGCCGCCCCAACTATGCAGATCTGATGGCAGACAGAAGCGTCCAGATGGTATCACCCTTCAAGCCTGGACAGATGGGAAGCAGGTGGTGTGGGACTATACATGTGCATCTACCTTGGCTGATACCTATCTCCAATACACCAGGGAGGAAGGAGGGGCAGCTGCCAGCTTCAGGGAGTCCCAAAAGTCTAGAAAATATGGAGAACTTGCCCATCATTATATGTTTGTTCCCATAGGCTCAGAGACCCTTGGCTCGTGGGGAAAGAGTGCATCTAAATTCCTTAAGGAGCTGGGAAAAAGACTCATCAGGGTAACTAGGGATCCCAGGCAGCTAGTTTTCTGTTCCAGCGGCTCAGTGCGGCTGTTCAAAGGGGTAATGTCTGCTGCCTTTTGGGCACACGCCCCAGCTCTGAGGAGCTGGATGAGATTTTCGCCTTGTAATCGGTGATACACACGTAACAACATGTACCTTATATGCCACCTTTATATCAACAATGTGTCTCTTAAATCTTCTGTACCATATTATGTAATAAAATATTCCTATTGGTAAAAAAAAATATATATATTAAAAGATGGGGTGGTAGGGGAAGTGGAATATTCAAACGGCTTCAGGAAGAAATCCAAATATTCTTCCTTGAAGCTTTTTTATCCACTTCTCCGAGGCTATGAGTCCCAAAATTTACACCAGTGGTGGACCCCATCCTATATACATATATATATATATATATATATATATATATATATATATATATATATATATATATATATATATATATATATATATATATATATATATATGTATATATATATATATATATATATATATTATATATATATATATATATATATATATATATATATATATATATATATATATATATATATATATATATATATATATTGCCAGATTAAGTCTCATAAACATACTTGGTTCTTTCATTGGCAGTCAAGTACATTTTTAATGGTTCACTCTATCACATTTAACAGTATGGAGATTCGTGAGGTTCCTGAACGTTCGTGGGGCACTGAAAACAACGGCATATTTAATGGAATGTTGGGATACTTCCAGCAGGAGGAGATCGACATTGGTGGACCTCTTGGATCAACAGAAGAGAGAATGAAAGTTGTGGAGTTTGCTGGTGCATACCAAGCTGATGTGATAAGCTTAGTGTCTTTACAGCCAACACCCCTGCCACAACACATGTCAATAATAAGACCTTTTACTGGTGGGTCTCGTACACATTTTTTATTCGTCGAAGGTAGCAGTTTTTTTATACTGTCATTTTAAAACTGTATCATTTTACAATTGCAAATTCACTATTATTTTGCAATTATAAAACTGTATCATTTTATAATTGCAAATTAATAGTGAATTTGCATAAATGTCTAAGATAATTTGTAATATTTCTGAGAGAAACGAAAATTTACTTGCTAATATGAACTTTCAGATTTTTTTTACTTATGTCTGTAGTGTACACAGACCTATGCACCGTATCCTGAAAACTGTCCTTAGTGCTTTTCTTTGCTTCCTGTCAGTAGGGACATAGTGTACATATCGTACCATCTAAAATATTTTGAACCTTTGATCCAATAATTTAAATAATATTATTTAATTAATTAATACAGCTTCATAAATTTCTTGAAATACTCACGTTTTTATAGGGTCAATTAGTAGAGAGGAAGACGATAAAAAAAAGAAAAAAAAGTAAAAGTTGCTTCCGGTTCCTTTTTTTATGTGTAATAAAAAGAATAAAATAGAGTGTGAAATGAATTTCTATTGCAGTTAAATTTTATAGGTAAAGATTTCAAATTGATCAGAAAAGATATTTAAAAATATATCGTATCTTAACCAGTATCTCAATTTTTATAGAGAAAATGGCTAATTCTTCAAAATCGGTTCAAATCATTCACTATGCAAGATACACCAGCTTACAATATTCAAAGACAGTCAGAAGATACATTTGTTAGTGAAAAATGAATGCACAGAAATCAATATTTTGATATGCTTATTGAAACAGGGAAATTAGGACTTTCGTAGCCCAAAATTAATAAAAACATCATCAAGACAACGGTAATATGACAACAGATGGATAGTGTTTCACGTATTACTGGGCTTATTAAAGTACTTAGCAGTACTTTTGTACACGCTGAAAGAAACGATATCTAAAATCATTCATTATTAAATTGACCATCAATATCATTATTATTTTAATTATTATTATTATTATTATTATTATTATTATTATTATTATTATTATTATTATTATTATTATTATTATTATTATTATTATTATCATTACTCTCCAGTGCACAGAGCTACTATCAACTCATATTCCTCAAGCGACATCATTTCCCTGGGATTATGTAGTTCTCTTGTCTCTCGTGTCTGTTATGTGCGTTAAAAATCTTGAACAAATGAAGGGCCCCATTGCATTGTCTTTTTTCAATAATAAAATCTTTATTCGAGGAAAATGCACAAGTATTTGAAGTTTGAAGCCAGTCAGAAGTTGCATTCTCAAGTCATGAAACGAGAAAACAATGCTCAACGTGTTTTTAAATGAAACTGATGTAATGACATCTACTGAGACCACAAAAAATGCAACGATATCTCTGAGATACACCGGAATTTTTTGGTTTAATGCCAATAGTCATTCTGCTTGTATTGCAGACACATAAATTTCTTAAAGAAACAAACACTTTGGAAAAGGAACGTAAATCATTCTATGAGTAAATCCAAAGATCAGTAAAAGAATAGATCAATCAGAACGGCAATATCAAACGTCTGCACGGAATACAATAATGTTAAGTTCCTTAAAGTCTTTACATTATATAATTCATATGATTATTAAATAACAAATGCGATTCTTCGATCATAATCATAAGATTTAAATAAACTTTACGGGATCAGCGTATCAAACACGATAAAAAAAATATGTCGAATAGAGTAATTAGAAGATTTATTCTAGAGAAACTTGATAGCATATTAATTTACCTCTATTTCCAGGTAGTCTGTGGTTGGCATTACTGGTGAGCATGGTGGCACTGAGCGTGATCCTGTGGCTCCTTCATGGTGCACGCAGGAAGGTGACAGGAATGCGTGGAGTGAAGCTTGACACCATTCTTTTGTACAGCTGGGGTGCGCTTATCAACCAGTCACCTAACAACCGATCCCTCAGCAAATCAGGAAGAGTAAGTCTTCCATCTTCAATACTAAAAAGATTTAAAGATCGTATTATTTAATATAAGTTTGTTCTTAATGAAGTGTGGCATGTCTATTTTTTCTCAAGTGTAATGTAAACAATACGAGCAACGGTCATGACGCAATCCGAGAAAGATATCACTTTAACTGATAAGAACAGCTCCTCTCCTTGACCAATGTGCGCAAAAGGAAGATTAGAGGGTGATTATAAAATTATTATAGAAAATAATATGTGTGTGAATATATATGTGTGGGTATGTATGCTCATGTATGTAGGTAAGCATGCTATTTGCGTATGAAGGAGTCGAGACTCAGTTCCTGGTAAGATAAGATAAGATTTTGTTCAGATTTTTAACCCTGGAGGCTTAACCACCCAGGATAAGTAAAGAAAGTCAACGCGTCATCGAGGGACTGTCTGTCTTATTTCCATCGGGGTCTTTCATTCTTGTCCCCGCAGGATGCGACCCACACCAGTCGACTAACACCCAGGTACTTACTTGCTGGGTGAACAGTTCCACATAAGTCAGCCATGTGCTTTTCTGACATAAGTGAATGATATGACGGAAGGGAAAGATTCAGCCGTGTCCCTGTTTGCAGACGAGGTGAAGCTAATAAGAACAGTTCAACAGGATGAGGATCAGGCATGATTTCAAAGGGACCTGGACAGTCTGCAAGCCTGGTCCAGCAACTGGCTCCTGGTGTTTAACCCCACCAAGTTCACAGTCATGAAGACAGGGCAAGGGCAAAGAAGATCGCAGACACAGTACAGGATAGAGGACCAGAGACTACAAACCTCACTCAGGGAAAAGGATCATGGGGTGAGTATAACACTGAGCACATCTCCTGAGGCGCACACCAACCAAATAATAACAAAGCAGCATACGAGCGCCTGGCAAATCTAAGAATAGCGTTTCGACACCTCAGTAAGGAATTGTTCAAGACTCTGTACACCGTGTACGTGAGGCCCATATAGGAGTAAACGGCACCAGTTTGGAACCCACACCTGGTCAAGCATTCCAAGAAACAAGAGAAAGTGGCAAGGTTTGCAACAAGACTAATCCCGGAGCTAAGAAATATGTCCAACGCGGAAATGTTAATGGAAATCGACCTGACGACACTGGAGGACAGGAGAGATAAGGAAGACATGATAACGACCTATAAATTACTGAGAGGAATTGAGACGGTGGAAAGGGACAGGATGTTTTAGAGATGGGACACAGCAACAAGGGGCCACAGTTGAAGCTGAAGACTCAGATGAGTCACAGGGAGGTTAGGAAATATTTCTTCAGTCACAGAGTTGTCAGGAAGTAGAACAGTCTGGAGAGTGATGTAGTGGAGGAAAGATCCATACATAGCTTTAAGAAGAGGTATGATAAAACTCATAGACCATGGGGAAAGAGGGAACCTAATAGCGACCAGTGAAGAGGAAAACTACAATTAGGTGAGTACAATTAGGTGAGTACACACACACACCTACAACTACATATAGGTGAGTACTTACCATACACACACTCACATACACACAAAAGGAGGCATTTACGGCACACTTCTGGCCCCTCTTGTCATCGTGAAGAAAGCAGCGCCGTTCTGGAATCAACATCTGGTGAATTATGTAAACTTTTATATAATTCAAAGGTTAGCAAAGAAACCAGTCCCAGAGGTGAGGAGTATGACCCATGAGGAGAGGCTAGAGGAGATAAACCTAACGACGCTAGAAGAAAGAAGGACAAAATTTGATGTGATTATAACGGACTCTGTCTTTGAGGTGTGGCTGATGATACTAAAGGAGGCGGAGAGAATAATAATTGATGTTTAAAAGAGAAAATGACAACAAATTCAGCAAGTTTAAGGAAGAGGTAAAGAAAGGAAAAAGAAAAAAAATTGAGGAACTTAAATGGATGTTAATTGTGAAAGGAAACAGAAACATTAAAGAAGGTATTTTATATAGAACAAAAAGGCACAATACCGTGACTGGAGCAATACACAAGTAACTTGCACAAAGGAGAATGAAACTTATGAAGACGTTTCGGTCCGACTTAGACCATGAACTAGTCCAATTCAGATAGAACGTCACCATAAGTGTCATTCTCCTATGGGTGGGATGTTTGTGTCATGCTTTTTATGGCAATATTCAAGTGGCTGGGAAAGACACGTTCCAGGAAAACTTCCAACACTCAACGTGAACTTCCATCCCACAACCCCTACAATTGAAGTACGAAAACAGCATAAACACTAAATAGTAAAACAATCAGAGTGTTGTACACAAATGTAGATAATCACCAACAAGTGTGAGGATAGGAAAGAGAGTGACGAGGAAGAAAATGCTGATATGCTACACATTTCAGAGATGATACATTCAGAGGTAATAATAAATGAAATACTCTCAGAGAAGTATCAACAGTAATAAAGGAAAAGGGAAGGAGGAGCAATGATGGTCTCTCGTCAATGAATACTTGGGCATAGAGGAAACTGGGAAACAGGAGAGCACAAAGACTATTCAGCAGGTACTGTAATGTACAGGGAGACAAAAATAATAGTTACAGTGACATACTCTGTCACCAAACATTGGAAGACCAAGAGAGGAATATGGTCACTATAACAGTAAAATGATTCACAAGTTGAAACAGTGGTTGAGAGTGCTAGGGGATTATTGCCACACAAGTGTGAGGGGACGAGTATGAGTCAACGAGACTTGCAATGGTTTTCTCACAAAATGAATACGAGACAGCAGAAATTAGTTTTTGGGAACCAAGAAGGTGAAGCCATTATGCGGTACTAAACACTGAGTACTTAGTGGAACGAGGATTAAATAATGAAAGAGAGTAACAGAAAATAGGTCTACAGAAAAGTTATCTATAGTGTCATGAGAAATTTTCTGGAATGATGGAGGTAACTCAAAGTGCCAAATAGCCATGAAGAAAAAAAGGAAAAAAACAAAGATAGCTCAGCATGGTTTAATTATGCATTTAGAAAGTTCAAGACGAGGAGGGGCATTGAAGGCTTGGATAAAATACAGAGAAAGTAAAAGTAGGAAAGATAGAAAGGAATGTGGAAGAGTAAGAAGGGAAGTAGGTAGATAGGTAGAAAATGACATAGAATCAATTAGAAAAGCTGTAACAAAGTTGTTTCACAGCCATATAACAAAACATGACTGAATAATCAAGTATAAATTCTGAAGTAGGAAAGGACACTCACGAAGAATAACAAAAACAAAAATAAGGGATAACATTAGCAAAAATATTCAATGAGATGTTCACAAAAGAAAATTAAATACTACAGGATGGTCCTGTAGTCTCAACCTATCCACGGGTTTCAGAAACTATCAAAACAAAAAAGTAAAGAGATGTGATTACTGCAGGAGCTGGACGTAACAAAAGCAACACGATTAGACAACATATCTCCAGTGATGCTGAGAGAAAGTGCAAACCTATTGTGACCATATGGTAGATGTGTTCATCCAGTCTTTCCACTGAGGACACATGTCTTGAATTACAGACCAGTATCACTAATATGCATACAGTATAAAGTTCTGGAAAAGATAGTAAGGAACAGGAAACTGGGACACTCAGTGAGGACAAAAATTCTTTACAGACCAACTTAATGGATTTAGGGAAAGAAAATCCTGTTTAAGGAACAGAGTTAGAAAGACAAAACAAGGAAGACAATATTTGACGAGTTGCATTTTCTAGGAGCCTAGAAAACATCTGATAAAGTACACCACACCAGAGTTAAGTACATAAAACAAAGGAACTAACAGTGTTAAAGGCAGAGTTCTCCAGATGGACAAGGAGGACCTTAATGACTGAAGGCAGACAGTAAGCAAAAAGGAAGAGACATTAGAATGAGCGTAACGAGTGTGATGCCACGTGAATCACTTACCGTAGGGGAGTGATTTCTGAATATAACTGTTTGCAGGCGATGTAAAATTAGGGCAATAATAAGCTCTGTGGCATGCAAAGAGTACGTAACCTTTATTCGGCGCATGGACACACCCTCATTTACAGGCTATCTCCCCCAACCAGCGAACCAGGTTGCTAAGAGTTGGTGATGGGGCCCCGTCGTTCAACTAGTGACCAGGTTCTAGCCAATAAGAAGGTGGGATTGGCAATCGCAGAGGTTATGTGGATACCGCTCTCCTGTCTGCCCTTGTCATTCTCATTCTAGAGCTGGTTGAGCACGGTCTGCTATCTTGTGGCTTCTATTTCTGCCTTGCTTACCGTGACGTGCACTATACTTATTACTGTACATAGTGTACATATTGCTGTTCTAAATTGGTGAAGGATAATATAAGTCTAAACTTTTTCTGCTGTGTTTCTTTTGCTCCCATTACACCTGGGATAACAGGCCTTTGAAATCCTAGGTTGTAATAAGCTCCAAGGAGACCTTAACAGACTACAAATGAGAGTCATACGAGTAAACTCCTTGAGTTCAAGGTTATGAGTTTTGCATAAGGTGAAGGCATAGCAGGCACTGCGTACAGAAAGGAAGGTATAAGGTTAAAATAACGTAATACATATCTCTAGAATTGCATGAAATCTTCATAACTGCAGTGACATGTGTAAGAACATCACATCTAAGAACAGCATTTAGAAATATGGGCAAAGAGTCTTTCATTTCTCTATATGCGACCTATATTATGCCACCCAATGATTACGCAGCTCCAGCATTCATCCCACGCCAGGTTCATCTTAGGCAGAGCCTTGAAAATGTCCAGAGATTCCCAACCAGACTAGCACCAGAACTGAAGGAAATGCACTATAAGGAAAAGCTGAAGTAACTAAAACTAATGATCATGACGGGGAGAAGAACCAGGGCGAACATAATTACGAAAACTAATGATCATGACGGGGAGAAGAACCAGGGCGAACATAATTACGAAAACTAATGATCATGACGGGGAGAAGAACCAGGGCGAACATAATTACGAAAACTAATGATCATGACGGGGAGAAGAACCAGGGCGAACATAATTACTAAAACTAATGATCAT